TTTTTTAGGTGATTTGTAAACTGTTGGCACGACTGCCTTGTAGCTCTTTGATTTTGGTACAAGTCCGCCAGCAATTTTACATATTGTCTGCATGTTCTCTTTGTGGTCCGTTTCCTAGCACAATTTTATTAAAATACATACTGCACATGCAGAGTGATAGACTTTTGCTCACTCTAGTCCAGCTCTGAGCTTATGTGTATGGCTGTGGTAGGGACACTAGATTGCATGCTCCTTTTGGGGCTGATGTGGATGATGAATATGTGGATTATGTAGCCTGCTGCCTTGTATGCTAGCGCTATATAAATTAGAATACAAAATATCGTGTTGATTTACTGAAGGCAAATAAGCTGTTCACTTTCTAAGCAAATTTTCACTTTGCAGGGGACTTTTCCCTTAGCTTGCTGAGTGCGGTGAAATTTCACTTTTCACAGAATACCCAATAAGCACAAGGAAAATAATAATAAACAGTATTTTTGCTTACACAAAATTTGGGTGAGGGAAGTCAGGAGAGCTTCACCTCATTCACTAAACTAAGGAGGAACTTCATCTTCAAAGTGAGGAGCCTATCTGCCTTTAGTAAATCAGCTCCAAATGTGCCCTACTTTGATTTGCAATTAAATACAGTTACAATGATTCTGTCCACAGAATCTCTTCAAAGCTAGATTTTTTTTTTCCAGTTAGCTTGAAATTAGCTGTACGCAGTCAAATCTTATGAAAGCACATGGATCAATATAAATAAATTGCAAACAATGCAATCTCTTTGTGTGCATATTTTTATTTTAGGTAAATCTACAATTGGAAGAAATTTCTATTTAAATAACTGTATAGTTAGGATAAGTGGTGCTGCTGTTCAGAGACTTATTGCAGTCACACACTCCAAATTATAGCTATTTCCTAAATCATTAGTGCTCTCAGATTCTTCCCCAGTGGGGTGTTTTAGATCCTAATCCATGATTATTATTCATGGCTCTGCTGTAATTCCAGATAGATCAGTCAAATCTGTCAGTGTAATCTGCGAGTTTTATCAGTTAATTGAGACAAGTTGATCCCACTATCCTGTTATTTGTTTCCCTTTATTGTACAGATAAAGTTCTTTGTCCTTTGGTGGAAACTGTTGTGTCTGCTCTATTTATCTGTTTTAGGAGGAGATTTAGAATTCCTGTTAGCTGTTAAATATCAAGCAGGTTATAGAGCCTTAGGTGACTGTAATCCTAAATTATCCATAGGATGCTAAATATTGATAGCATAATGTTGCAAACAATATAAGGCTGTGCATAGTAAATTGTGTAAAACTTCTCAACTGCTAGTGAAAATTTTTTGATCGTTGGAATCAGTAAAGTGACTTGTGACCGTTACGTCGTCAACATTTATTTAAACCCCAAATCTGTTTCTCAGTATGTTTGGCATTATGACCCGCTGTATACTGTTTGCAGTAGATTCATAAAAATAATGATTTGCTTAAGAAACGTTTCTTACCTGGAGATTGAGCCATTGCCTCACAATTGGCTGCCTTGTCAGCCTGCCGTGTGTACTCCTTCATTTCAGCCTTTGGTTGCCTACTTTCTGCAGAGCAATGGCTTAGGCTAGGTTCACACCTGGGTGGACGACTCCTGACTGGCAATCGTGCACAAAACCGTGCGGTTTGCCGCACGGTCACAGTCGGCCACCCCAGACGATCGTGCCGTAGGTGCCATTATTTTCTAATGGCACCCCAGTTGCGCTTGGCGGATCGGGCGGTTTACTGCCACGCTTCTGCCCGTGCAATTGAAGCCACATGTCGTGTGTCACATAAAAAAAAATCAATGGGACTGCACGGCAACTGCTGTGTGCACTAGCACACGATGGCACGGTCCTGAGTGTCGCTGCAATGTCAACTTAGCTTTGAACTCAGGAGTTAAAGCTCAAAAATGGATTTAGGTACCTTTTTAATGACAAAAATGTGTCTTATTTGTGTATTACTCAGCTGTAGATCCTCAAATCATCTCTGAATTGGTGCTGACACTGTCCTTCCTTCTGGAGGGTGGCTATTTTTGTTCCCCATGGTCCCTGCGTGTGTGGTAAAGTACCCACCTCTCCAAGCTTGCTCCCGGGATGGACTAAAATCTCAATATAAATTAGTAAACTAACTGTAAGGTTGGAGTCAATCACAGGAGCGAGCTTGGAGTGGTGGCTACTTTGCAACACACAAGGACAAGGACAATGGGGAACAGAAGTGTCCACCCTCCAGAAGGAAGGACAGTGTCGGCATGAATTCAGAGATTATTTGAGGATCTACAGCTGAGTGATACATTTTTATTAATAAGTAAGGTACTTGAATGCATTGTTAAAATTTAATTACGGAGTGTGTGCTCACTTTAACATTAGCATAAAACTGCAATTCCTGGCAGGATCTCTAGGTAAGAAACCTTTGCAACAGATTCGTAATAAGATGTGCGTTAGAAAACTGTATGCAGTGAGGAATGATGCCAAACATACTGAAACATGGATTTGGGGCTTGCATGCACTTAAAGTACTAATAGTTGCCTTAAACTCCAGTTGCATGGTTGATGGGGGAACAAGGCAGATGCATTCCACTCTTATGACAGATGCAATACTCTATGGCAGGAGAGTGTTGAATAGCGCTTTGGAAAACCATTTTTCTTTTTTTGTTGCTGGGGACAGTGCAAATGAACCTCCATATGTATTTACTGGTAGCTGTGGAATGACTGTGTTCACATAATTTTTTCTCTAACAGCAGGTTTACAAATCTGAAAATGTCCCATAATGCACTGTAGATTCATCACAAGTTCATCAGAATTAAAATGTTGCAAGCCATGCAATGAATTCTGTTTGCAGAGTTATTTTGTTGTCCTATCGTACAATATTACATTAGTCTTGTGTCATCTTGAGGGATTCTTTCAAATGTTTCGTGGGAGCACTGCAGTCTTGCTAACCTATTGAGTATGAGTAAAAAAGTTTGTAGGGTGTTTTTGTTGTTTTCTTGTACAGGTATTTTGGGGTCCTGTTGTGTGGTTAGTTAAATGCAAGTAGTGCTAAGGGAAGTTCTTATTTAGCACTTTGTTCATCCTTAGACTTACAGTTTTAGTTTTAAAACTATGAAACAAATGGAGAAAACAAGTGCGCAGAAAGGCACGAGGGTTTTTCCTTTTTGTTTGGAACTTCGGAAGTTTTAGAGCTGGCTGGCAAGGACACAGGAATTCATACCATTCCCTGCCAGCACTTTCTCATGAAGCAAAGTACACAATGTTTTGTCATATACTACCAGGAGATTTGCCTTGGCCGTTTTGGCAAAGTAATATCAGTGTATTGCATGTTTATTACTCTGGCTTGTTCTCAGGTTTTTTTTTAACCATATATGACACTTGTTTTGTTGAGCTGTTTTTCCACTTTGGAAAATGTGGTCATGAGCAACTGTATGTAGTACCTGATATTGCAGGAGGATGTGGGTAAGGTGTTGGTAAATACAGGTATGTAGAAGGAGTGTTTTCTTAAAACATCTGTAGGCCTTTTACAAGCTGTGTGTGCAGAACGGCTGGTTGAAGAAACTAAAGCAAAAGCGGACATGCAGTCCCTAGCAACCAATCAGATTTCATTTTCCCAGCACAGTTTAGTCACCTAGGTCACCCATTTTTTACTTTTATTTTACAGCTCATGCCTGTAGAGTCAAAGAATTGCAAAATATGAATAATCGCAACTGACTCCTAAGATAATATGGTCGGAAAACGGCCAGAACCCAACATGGCTGATCCATAGAATCTCAGTTGGGTGCTGTAGACTTTATATTTTCCTGGACCCTGCTAATACGGTAGAACAGTATTGTGCATCAAGCCATATGAGGAGCTCATTTGTCTGCTAAATACCCATGGAGGACATACCAGGATCTCCACAGGGTTTGATTTTTTTTAAAGTGACACTAAATTCAGGAGTTAAATCTTAAAAATGCATTCAACTACCCTAACTATTACCAACAATGTATCATTTGTGTATCATTCAGCTGTAGATCCTCCAAATCACCTCTGAATTCATGGAGACACTGTCCTTCCTTCTGGAGGGTGGCTACTTTTTATTCCCCATGGTCCCTGTGTGTGTTTTTCAAAGTAGCCACCTCCTACAAGATCACTCCCATGGTGGACTACAATCTCACGTTTTTGTTTACTTGTTTGTTTTGAGATTGTAGTCCATCACGGGAGCAAGCTTGGAGCAGTGGCTACTTTACAACACACATCAGGACCGTGGGGAACAAAAGTGGCCACCCTCCAGAAGGAAGGACAGTGTCGGCATGAATTCAGAGATGATTTCAGAATCTAAAGTGAGTAATACACAAATAAGGTAGATTTTTCTTAATACTAGGGTACTTGAATTTTTAAGATTTAACTCCTCTGAGTTTAAATTACTTTAAGTGTTCTAGTGTAGATGGGATCCATGTTATTTTATAATTTCAGGTCTGTTTCTTGTATTGGTTTTATACAGTATGTACTAAACAGGCTTGTTTTGTGTTTGTGTTTTTTTTACTATTGCCTACTCGAAGGTAGGGCTCATTAAAGGTTGCCTATTTAGGACAGCCATTGATGGCTCTAGAATTGTATACGGCGTTCCCTTTTGTTTAAGCTAGGATGCCCTGGAAAGATTGGATGATAGGAACTCCTCATATAGGAAAAGCTTTGGAAAATTCTGTCCTCACTTAATGCACAATTCAGTATATGTTAAGATACCGCTCATTGCGAGCGATCTAAGCAACGGCTTTTTATGTGCAAGGGAACAAAAGTGAATACCACACATTTCCATGTTAATGAACACTGGTTGTCTGTTTAAAAATGAATGGGCCAGAAAATGAAGAGACTGTCATGTGCTTGTGTTTGAATGATATAATAATCTTGCTTGTGTATGATGAGCATAACCGCGCTCAACAAATCTGGGTAAATTTACATTACAATACTTTACAGTATACATATTTGTGAGCCTTTGTGATATTTGGTGTTTTTTTTTTTTGTATTCTACAGGAAGCTTCACAGTGGCATGAAGACCTATGGCTGTGAGCTGTGTGGGAAGAGGTTCCTGGACAGTTTGAGGCTTCGAATGCACTTGCTGGGTCATTCAGGTAAGGGCCATCTTGATAGACTTGGTTGAGATGTAATGCACTATATTACAAGTTCACAAAGCTGATATAACAGCGTTCTAGATTGAGCATAATGATGTCCATAAAAATAATAAAGAGTGCAGAATACAGACAAGCCAAGAGCCATATAACTTGATTGAGGTTAACATCTGCCAGCTGGGCGTCAGCAGCCTGTACTCTACCGGAACCCATACTTCAGTGCCAGATTTATATGGTAAATTGCACTCTGTAAGTTGAAAATTTGCATGTAGTGTGGCCAATTTTCCACACAACTAATTGTCGATCTTCATGGGTCCAATAATGATTCATGGTTCATATCCGGTGTTTAGATTCCAACTTCCTCAGACTGTTTGATAATCCTTATCTGTAGCCTAGAGTCACAGCTGATCTCATACTGCCAACTTAAAAAAAAAAAAAAAAACTAAAGCTTGTGGGAAAGATTACAGTGTGTACCCAGTTACAGTAGTAGAACTTACACATACCTAGTGCCATAGCACGTGTTCTTTTTACCTAGTAGAAATATGCACTATATAGGTAGTTGGCTTTACCCAGTGCATTGGTAGATGCTCGATTTTACAGAGCTAGTTTCATCACTCCGTTTATTCTATACCGAGCTGACTGACCACACAACGCAACCATGAGCTCCCACTGCATCTTGATTTGTAAGGTCTAAGGGTTAAAACCAGGGGTGAATGGAGGAACTTGTATACAGCCTCGAGGATGGGGATGGAAGGGGGTGTAATTAAAACCTTCAAATACCTTGGGGTGTCAACAACATATCCGGATTGATTATTGAGACTACCCCTCACAAATAAGAACAAACAGAAAGACCTTAGACCGCTGGAGTGGAGGGGGAGCGAGGCTGAAGGGACACTTCTAAGAGCAAGCAGGGTTCATGGTTTGGGTATAATTTTGTTATTTTAGCTCCCTAGACACTGCAAGGGTGTGGATTTTATTTATCCGGAGTTCTGCTTAAAAAAACAAAGTATGTTTACACATTATCAGATGCTTCTTCACCACCTCCATGTGGTTGAGAACTCAAAGCAGAAACTAAACTTGAATCTGTCTATAAGACAGTAAGTTATGATTGGATGTTCACAAACCGTCTGAAATTGTATCCCTCATAAACATCTATACTTGCATTTTGTATGTGTGTCTTGATATATAGCAGATTCCATCCATACAAGACAACAAAAGGTTACTAGCAGGGAAGTCAAACCTGACCAATAGCCGTATTCCCCTTGGATAGTTTAATAAGGGAGGGGTCAGAGGAGGTCTGCTGTAGCCCAAAAACAAATAAGTAGTTTCACAGATAGTGTCCTAAATACCCACAAGCGTGATTTGTGCAACTCACATTGATCTGACTCCTTAGTACTGTAACACTACAGCTACTGCTCAATAAATAACGGAGTGTCGGTGCTGAATACTTGGCTGTGCCCTTCACTTTCTTTTAGCTCTCTTTTGCAAGGAGAATTCAAATATTGTGCATACCTACCAATGGAGAGGCACACTGGATACTTCAAAATTCTGCTGCAAACATAAAACTATTGTATTCCAAAACTTTTTGTTCCTCTCCTCTCTCTGCCTCTCCTCTCTCTGCCTCTCGTGTCTCTCTCTCTGTGTCTGTCTCGTGTCTCTCTCTGTGTCTGTCTCGTGTCTCTCTCTGTGTCTGTCTCGTGTCTCTCTCTGTGTCTGTCTCGTGTCTCTCTCTGTGTCTGTCTCGTGTCTCTCTCTGTGTCTGTCTCGTGTCTCTCTCTGTGTCAGTGTCTCTCTCTCTCTCGTGTCTCTCTCTCGTGTCTCTCTCTCCTGTCTCTCTCTCTCTCTCTCTCTCTCTCGTGTCTCTCTCCTGTCTCTCTCTCTCTCTGTCTCTCCTGTCTCTCTCTCCTGTCTCTCCTGTCTCTCTCTCCTCTCTCTCTCTCTCTCTCTCTCTCCTGTCTCTCTCTCTCTCTCCTGTCTCTCTCTCTCTCTCCTGTCTCTCTCTCTCTTCTGTCTCTCTCTGTCCTCTCCTGTGTGTGTGTCTCTCTTTCTCTTTCTCTTTCTCTCTCTCTCTCGTCACTTTCCCAGTCTCTTGCACTCTTTCCGCAGTCGGCTTTCTCTCCATTTTAATATTTCTTGTCCATTTTTTTTGTTTTGCTTTTTTACGTTGGTGGTTTGGGTTTGTTATTGTGCAGCTGGCAGAGTGCCCGCCCTGGGATTCTGCCAGAGCTCTGGTACAGTATGTACAGTGCTCTGAGCCAAGTGTATCATCATGCGAGATTACAGATACATGCTTTTTCTATTTTCCTCCCTGCTCTAATGTAACCAGGGGGCGGGGCAGAGAGTGCATAACCGGGGCAGAGATTTAAAGTGTCCATTCTCTTCTCGATTGCTCAACGCAGGCTGGCACTTTGTTGCTCCAGACGCACACAACTTAACGCCTAAGCACCATGGAGATTCTGGAGTCGGTGAAAAACGATCGCTCTGTTTTTTGTTTCTCGTTTAGTTGGCTCATTTTGACCCTGAATATTTTATGTTGACATTCATATTAAAATCGCTGTTTTCAGCTAGTTTGGCGGCGGGACCGAGAAATTGTATCAATATTTATTTATTGAAGGGAAAGTATAGAGTAGATCTAGCGAGCACACATTTAAATAATTATTTTGGTGTTTACTTTTAGGTTTGTTTTTATTTTTGATGCAGCTTTCATTTCAAATCTCATTTCTAAATAGCTGCTGCAATAAAGCTGAACACTGAACACGGTTCCTTTTTTAGTTAAATATATTTCTCAATAACCACAGAATGGAATATATTTAACTGAAAGTTTTTTATTTTAACTGAACAATTTATATCCACTAAGTGTGAACCAAATGCCTTTACAAGGACAGCTATTACCTTGTAAAAGTAGCAGTGACATCACTGTCCTGTAGTAGAGCTGTGGGAGGGACCCAGATGGCTCCACCCACTACATGCTGCATGCAGAAAACGACATGAGGGGTGGATACAAGACCAGTCATCCTGTGCAAAGGGTGATTGTGTGCATCCTTTTTAATGCAGGTGATGCACCCAGTTTAAAATAGAACTATGGGAAAAATATTATTTTTAATTGTGCTCTGTACAAATAATTTATCTCTAATTAAGGTCATCCTAGGGCTTGATTGATGCAGTGTAGTGTAAAAATACTAGCGTCAATGACTCAGGATACTAATGTCAGCACTTGTCTTCCAGAGTTGTGACTAAAGGTGCCCATACACCTTACGGTTTCGTCCGATGATCAAACCGTCCTACGATTTTCGTACGACGGCCCCATCCTGCCCCGATTATCGAAAGGTTCAATCAGCGGTAGTTAAAAAAAAAAAACACCTGGACAACTTGCGGTAATTGACAGCAATTATTTTCGTTTCTGCATGCGCAGTGTTAATCGTACGACTTTTGACGGACGCAAAAGCCACCAACCATGCGAACATCATACGATCGACCAAAGTTTTCAAACATGCTTGACCGTCAAGTCTTACGATTGTACAGTACTATCGGTCGGACACTCTGTTCACACGTTACGATAATCGTAAGGTGTATAGGCACCTTTAAGAGTTGTGGCTCTCCTAGTGCAGGGATCATACAGAAAAAGGGAGGGGAGAAGTGTTGCAAACCAAGTGGGAGAGCAGGGCGATTTTGATAGGAAGTGAGGGCTGGGAAATCCAGTATTATATTATATAGGACCCCCCAGATCGAGCGCTGTATCTCGGTATGCTGTCCTTGTAACTTTCCTAGTGCAGTGATCATGTCTTTCACTCTCCCCTTCCTCTACCCTCATCCATTCACAAAATGCCTTGTATTCTGTTTGCAGAATGCTCTGTGAATGGACGAGGCGGAATCTGTAGTTTATCTGCCTCTCCTCTCGCCCATTCACTGCCTTGTAGTCTGTAAACAGAATACAAGGTGTCTTGTGATCAGACAAGGGTTGATGAAGGGGAGAGTGAACACTGACTGCTGCACTGTATGAAAGTCATAGCCCTGAAAGAAGAACACTGCCAGTAGTATCAAACATCAGTGAAGCTACCATTTTTACACTACAGAGCAGCTAACAAACCCAAGAATTACCATAATATAAAATAACTTATTTGTATAAAGCACAATTTAAAAGAAAGTGTTTTTCTGAGTTCTGCTCTGGGCAACCCTTACAACAATTGGGTCATGTAAGGCCTCTTTCAGGGGTGATGAGTACTAGTTATACACTTCTGCACATATGCAGCAAGCACTCCTCTGTCACCTGTTGGGAGAAGATTGCAGATGGTCTTAACAGCACACCAATGTGTTCGTGGGTAGGCACATGTCTTGTTGCCCTCATTCACAGTGAGATGGCTGCTCATGATTTGTATCTAAGAGATAGAGATAGAAATGAGCTGGTCAGCTCAGAAGTTAGCAAATTAAAGGGAGTTCTGTGTGCGCTTCCAACCCAGCTCCTCCACCTCCTCCTTGCTTTTGCTGTTGACCACACACTCTGTACACTGTTACACTTCCTTGGCACCCATATACTCCCTAGCATAAAGTCCTGATTGTCCCTGTGTCATTCCAGCACAGTGCTGGGTACATTATATTCCAGTATGCGTGGAATGACGGAACGCGTATATTTTTGTGTATTGCGCACTAACCGCTCAAGACCAATTTGGATGTTTTAGCTTCTCTCTTGCCAGGCTGAGAGAACAGGAAAAAAACATACGGTCTCTATTGCCAGGTCCAGGAAGAAGCGTTCATGGTTACCTTACAGTGGGTTATAATGCAAAAGTTTTGTTATGCATAGTGCTGCTAGTGACCATAGTGAAAACATTCAGTTTTGTTAGATGGCTGACATTGTCAAGAAACTTTATTACAAATGTTTATTACTTAAAACCCAAATGATATCTGCTACTGCTCAAAGCAAACAGATTTACAACCAAATGCTGAAAGAAAATTGCATAAAGCAATCAAAAATGAAAATAATAAATATAAAATATATATGTTTTTTACTATATATTATATTGTAAAGCGCTGCACAAACTGTTGGCGCTATATAAATCCTGTATAATAATAATAATAATAATAATAATAAATAAAATGTATGTATGTATGTATGTATATAGATAGATATATAGATATACAAGCAAGGAGGAGGTGGAGGACCCTCTGAGCTAAAAAAAATATATAAATAAAAGCCTTATATAGGAGATATATAGATATAGATATATATCTATATATCTTATATATAAGGTTTTTATTTATATATTTTTTTAGCTCAGAGGGTTATAGCTGAATTATACAGGCATATATATAATAATATAAATAAATACAGCTTTCAATGTCTGCATTAACAGAAAGTGACAGAATACAAAGACCGTAAGTATGAAATGCAGCTGCGTCCTTCTTTAGGCTACTAATAGCTGCATTGTGTTATGTGTAAAGAGAAATGTGATTTAGTATTGGTGCGCATGAGTTGGATAAACCAAGTAAGCAGCCACATAGTGCATGTGTGGTGACTGCTAGATTCAGAGAACCTGCTGCTAAAAAACAACACCCAGCATGTCAAGGTAGGGTTTGCATAGGACATGTTCCAGCAAACCTCTCAGTTCCATATCGACACTATACAGGCTGCAGTAATACAGTGCTTTATGCTTTCATATACCTGTACATGAACCCCCAGTGTTGGTGGTGCCCCTAATCCTGGGCCACTGCAGATGCCATTGTGTACCCTTTTGGTTAGTGAAGGTACCATTATAATTTGATACCTTAATGGCAAATGTTAAGGGACAGACTTTAACATTACTACATAGCATGTCTTTGGAGTGTAATGGGAAACTAGAGTACCCGGAGAATCCCAGCTGAAGCACAGGGAGAACATGCAAACTGCATGCAGATAGTGTCCTGGTTGAACCTGAATTTGAACCGGGGACTTAAGTACTGACATTAGTGCTTACATTACTTAGTATGCATGTGCTTTAACATAAAAAAGAAGGCACTTAATGTCTATGGCCAGCAAATCCTTCAGTACGCTTCTAATGCAATATATTTCAGAGCCTGCCTAGCCAGCTGGCGGCCTTTATTTCTACCAAGTGATCCAAGTGCACCTGTTACTTGCAGTACTTTTGGCTGTACTATTATTTATATAATATATATCAGGGCTGAACTAATCCCTTGGAGCCCGGTAGCCAGTGCTCCGTAAAGTTTACAGCTGGCGCCTAATTCTTGAGGTTTTCTGTAGTTAAGTGTGGCTCCAAATTATAATCCTGCTGGCTCCTGGATCGAACAATCTGACGTGTATGTGTATATACTGTATGTATGAGCTTCCAGTATAGGTGTGATCAGTCTAGCTTACATAAAAGTAAATGCTGTAGGACACCTGTCTGTTGTGGAATCTCGCAGTCATTTGTCTCGCAGGATATTATGTCTTGGTCTGCCGTGTTCTAATTTTTATTAATGCGTCCAACAGTGTTTCTTTACCCACAAATTCAGCCTGCCTCTATTAAGTGTGTAAATATATACCATCAGGCATGTGTATAGTTTTATACGGCGCATAAATGTTGATGAAACTGCTTGCTGTTTGTACACAGCCCTAGGCCAGAGCCTGGCCCTCAGCCGGCACCCCCAGCCTTTTCCCAGAGTGATGTCATGGGCGCGCTGGCAGGTCTGGATGTTCTGCCAGCATTCCACAGCGTTTATGATCACTCGCAGATGTGAATCCAAGAACACACTGTACCCAGAGACGAAATTAATGCAGGCTTGAGTGCTGTCCAACCCTGATACAGAGGAGGGACTCGGAGGAGGAGGGGGTGGCAGCACAAACT